TTTGGCCAAAAAAAATTTTGGTCAAAAAAATTTAGGTCAAAAATTTTGACCCAAAAAAATTTGACCCAAAAAAATTTTGGTCAAAAAAAATTTGACCCAAAAAAATTTTGGCCAAAAAAATTTTGACCCAAAAAAATTTTGGTCAAAAAAATTTGACCCAAAAAAATCTTGGTCAAAAAAATTTTGGTCAAAAAAATTTTGACCCAAAAAATCTTTGTCAAAAAAATTTTGGTCAAAAAATTTTGACCCAAAAAATTTTGACCCAAAAAATTTTGACCCAAAAAAATCTTGGTCAAAAAAATTTTGATCAAAAAATTTTGACCCAAAAAAATTTTGGTCAAAAAAATTTTGACCCAAAAAAATCTTGGTCAAAAAATTTTGATCAAAAAAATTTTGACCCAAAAAAATTTTGGTCAAAAAAATTTTGACCCAAAAAAATTTTGGTCAAAAAAATTTTGACCCAAAAAAATTTTGACCAAAAAAATTTGACCCAAAAAAATCTTGGTCAAAAAATTTTTGGATAAAAAAATTTTGGAAAAAAAATTATGGTCCAAAAAATTTTCGTCAAAAAAAAAATTGGAAAAAAAAATTTGGCCCAAAAAAATTTCGGAAAAAAATTTTGGGAATTTTTTTTTTTATATTAGACCGATATTGACCAATATTGGACCGATATTGACCATTATTGGACCGATATTGGACCGATATTGACCGATATTAACCGATATTGGACCCATATTGGACCGATATTGGACCGATATTGGACCGATATTGACCAATATTAGACCGATATTGACCAATATTGGACCGATATTGACCAATATTAGACCGATATTGACCAATATTCGACCGATATTGACCAATATTAGACCGATATTGATCAAAAAAAATTTTGGTCCAAAAAATTGTTGGTCCAAAAAATTTTCGGAAAGAAATTTTTAGTCAAAAAAATTTTGGTCCAAAAAATTGTTGGTCAAAAAAATTTTGGGAAAAAAAATTTTAGTCAAAAAATTTTGGCCCAAAAAATTTAGGGAAAAAAAAATTTGGTTAAAAAAATTTTGGCCCAAAAAATTTTAGTCAAAAAAATTTTGGTCAAAACAATTTTGGGAAAAAAATTTTTGGTCAAAAAAAATTTGGTCAAAAAAATTTTGGCCCAAAAAATTTTCGGAAAGAAATTTTTAGTCAAAAAAATTTTGGTCCAAAAAATTGTTGTTCAAAAAAATATTTGGCCAAAATAATTTGGGGAAAAAATTTTGGGTGAAAAAATATTTGGGCAAAAAAATTTGGGAGAAAAAATTTTTTTTCTGAAAATTTTTTTTCCCAGACATTTTTTCCAACAAATTTTTTTCCCCAAAAATTCTTGACCGATATTGACCAATATTGGACCGATATTGACCAATATTAGACCGATATTGATCAAAAAAAATTTTGGTCAAAAAATTTTTGGCCAAAAAAATTTTTGGTCAAAAAAATTTAAGAAAAAAAATTTTGGTCAAAAAAATTTGGGGAAAAAAATTGGGGGAAAAAATTGGGAAAAAAATTTTGGTCCAAAAAATATTTGGTCAAAAAAATTTGTGAGAAAAAATTTTTTTTCTGAAAAATTTTTTTCCCAAACATTTTTTCCAAAAAAATTTTTTCCCCAAAAATTCTTTCCCAAATTTTTTTGCATAAATATCGGTTAATATCGGTCAACATTGTCCCAATATTTGACCAAAATTTTGGTCAAAAAAATATCGGTCCAAAAAATTTTGGTCAAAAAAATTTTTGGTCAAAAAAATTTTGGTCCAAAAAATTTTTGGATAGAAAAATTTTGTCCAAAAAAATTTTGGAAAAAAATTTTGGTCTAAAAAATTTTCGTCAAAAAAAAATTGGGAAAAAAAATTTGGCCCAAAAAGATTTCGGAAAAAAATTTTGGTCCAAAAAATTTTGGGAAAAAAATTTTGGTCCAAAAAGTTTTGGGAATTTTTTTTTTTTTTATTAGACCGATATTGACCAATATTGGACCGATATTGACCGATATTGGGCCGATATTGACCGATATTGACCGATATTGGACCGATATTGGACCGATATTGACCGATATTGACCGATATTGGACCGATATTGGACCGATATTGACCAATATTAGACCGATATTGACCAATATTGGACCGATATTGACCAATATTGGACCGATATTGACCAATATTGGACCGATATTGACCAATATTGATCAAAAAAAATTTTGGTCAAAAAAATTTTGGTCAAAAAATTTTTGGTCAAAAAATTTGGCCCAAAAAATTTTCGGAAAAAAATTTTTGGTCAAAAAAACTTGGGAAAAAAAATTTTGGTCAAAAAAATTTTTGGTCAAAAAAAATTTGGTCAAAAACATTTTCGCCCAAAAAATTTTCGGAAAGAAATTTTTAGTCAAAAAAATTTTGGTCCAAAAAATTGTTGGTCAAAAAAATTTTGGAAAAAAAAATTTTAGTCAAAAAATTTTGGCCCAAAAAATTTAGGGAAAAAAATTTTGGTCAAAAAAAATTTGGCCCAAAAAATTTTAGTCAAAAAAATTTTGAGAAAAAAATTTTGGCCCAAAAAAATTTTGGTCAAAAAAAATTTTGTCAAAAAAATTTTGGCCCAAAAAATTTTCGGAAAGAAATTTTTAGTCAAAAAAATTTTGGTCCAAAAAATTGTTGGTCAAAAAAATTTTGGGAAAAAAAATTTTAGTCGTAAAATTTTGGCCCAAAAAATTTAGGGAAAAAAATTTTGGTCAAAAAAATTTTGGCCCAAAAAATTTTAGTCAAAAAAATTTTGGTCAAAAAATTTTGGGGATAAAATTTTTGGTAACAAAAAAATTTTTGGAAAAAAATTTGTGGAAAAAATGTTTAGGAAAAAAATTTTTGGAAAAAAAAACAAATAAACCAACATTTTTCCTTCAATATTTTTTGTCAAAAATCAATCCAACTCTGAGATCGACGAAGACTGAAATTTGTCGCGATCGCTAGTTAGGGAAAAAAAAATTAAAAAAAAAAAGTTTGGGGAAAAAAATTTTTGGAAAAAATGTTTTGGAAAAAAAATTTTTTGAAAAAAAAAATTAAGGAAAAAAATTTTTGAAAATAAAAAATTTTGGGAAAAAAATTTTTGGGAAAAAAATTTTTGGAAAAAACAAATTTGGGAAAATTTTTTTTTGAAAACCGATGTTGGCCAATGTTGACCAATATTGACCGATATTCGCCAATTTTTTTTTTCCAAACAATTTTTCCCCAAAATTTTCTGAAGAAATATCGGTCAATCATCGGCCAACGACACTGCCATAAATAAAAGACTTCGCTTTGCAATGACTATAAAATAATCCTTGACTATTTCCAAAACACCACCATATCTGAATGAAGCGTGTATTTTATTATTTTATTATTTTACTAAAAACTAAACTAAAAAACTAAAAAAAAATATGTTTGCCAGTTTTTTTTTCAAGTCAATCTGTACACACTAGAATGTAACCAAAAATTGTCAAAAATAATAATTAGTTCAAATGTTCCAGTTATTAATAGCTTGGTTTATCACAGTGTAATAGTGTAGTGTAATCCATGGTATGATAAGATATATATTTTTTAACATCACAATTGGTAAAACACACTAATAACCATGATAACTTAACAAGTTGTTGAAACTATGTATTTACTCTTCGGAGTTTAAAATAGAAATTTCTATCTTAAAAAATATTTATCTTATCAATGTGAACATAGTTATACCATGGATTAATAATGGTTTTATATGCTATATTAGGATACAAAATTTTAATTTGATTAACACTGAATGACGGCTAAGATGCTAGCCGAAACGTATGGATTTTAAATAAATAAACTTTTAAAAAAACTCTCATACTATTTTTATTGATGTTACGCCCGAATTTAAACTCGAATTATATATATATATACAGCTCTTGGTTTAAGACAAAAAGGCGCAAGGGAGATATTTGACAACCTTATATATTTTGGTCAAAAATATATATATATATATATATATATATATATATATGTATATATTTAAATATATACATATTAGGGTGGTCCTTAAAATAGTCATTTCCGAATTTCCTTGCTCCCAGGGGCTCAAATGGTTTCAAATTGATAAAAAACAATTCTCTGAAAGTTTTAGCTCTTAATATTAACGTTTAGATAGAGCGCAATTCAATCAAAGTTTGTATGGAAAGAGCATGGAAAAATTTTTGAAAATTAAAAAAAAAAAAGTTTTAGGTATAACTTAGCGACAAATGAATGAGTTTTATTCATTCATTTGTTCGCTAAATTACATTTAAAAAACATTTTTAATTTTTTTAAAAATTTTTCCATGCTATTTCCATACAAAACTTTGATTGAATTGCGCTCTATCTAAACGTTAATATTAAGAGCTAAAATTTTCAGAATTGTTTTTTATCTATTTGGAACCATTTGAGCCCCTGGGAGCAAGGAAATTCAAAAATGACTATTTTAAGGACCATCCTAATAATATATATATATATATATATATATATATATTTAAAATGTACACAAAAAAAATGCATAAATATTGATCAAACAAAAGCTTGAGCCTTTGATTGATTAAAATTAAAAATAACCAGTCTAATTTATTCTGATGTCAATTTTCTGTTACAAAATTTTTATTATCGTCACAGTACATGTACTAATATAAGAAGTATAAATTTTCTTCATTTTTTAATAATGTTTGATACGTGTGCTTATGCATTTTTAGTAGAATTCAGAATCAATTTTTAATCAATATTTCTATTGTTGTAATCTAAATATACATGGAAATTTAAATTAATTCCATAAAAGTTTTGAAGCAAAATTAGAACAAATTTATATCTGTTTTGTTTTTACTATTATATATGTTTTATATACTAAGCAATAAGTTGATGTAAGATACACACTATAGTAATAGCAAACGTCGCAAGAAGTGTTGAATTCTTTCAGACGTAAAAAATCAATTTTTGTTTTATTAATTAAAACAATCTAACTGCTCTCTGCATGCAATTCATTTTAAAATAATAACTATTTGCTAACTTATAAGTTGATTTATTCACAGTTTGCTGGAAATTATTCGAACATGTTTCAATGACGATATATAGATTCTTCTTTAATATATTGAAAAGGGTAGGACTAATGCACAAATTTATACAACATTGTAAAAAAAGTTAAAAAGCACATTGTCTCAAAGATTTTCTGTTATAATACCTTAATTGTGCTTCCAAGAACACATCATCAACAGTACGTTTTTTCCAAATGTCTATTTTGGGTTTTTTAACTTCTATTACAGGTTTAAGTTCTTCTTCTCTTTTTATCCTTTCTGGTATTTTAAATCCTTCATTCCATTGCGGAATCTGGGATTTGACATCATTTTCATCCTGTTTTTCTTGCTTGATTTCAACTTGATCACCTGTATTTAATTCCTGGCTTGCTATTGTCACTGTCTGCTTGTCTTCACTATTTTCTTGTTCTGAATCACTTGAATCAATGCTGAAGTCCGAATCTGCATCCAAATTTGATTGCAGATGTTGCTTATTACCCTCATGAAGATCCTCCACTGGGTCTGTTGCATTTTCTATCTCTGGAGTGAGACTGCGCTGTCTATAATGCCTCTTTCTGTTTTGAGTGCGAGATATTTTATCACTGTCACATTTAGATTTTGCAGAACTTTCAGAAACATCTGATTTGCATTTATCATCACCGATTTTTTGAGAATATAAGTGTCTATAAAATCCACCTGAAATTATATATCATTCTATAAACATTTAATTGCTTACATGAATATCAGTTTATATTTTGGAAATATGAATAATTATACCTAAATCTTGCTGCTTTGTTACATCTCCAATTGCTTCTAAATAATCTTCACGTTTTTCTTCATCTTCTAACTTTTTAAGTTCTTCCAACTTTTTCCTATAAGATGTGGTTACAAACGTTTCTTTATCAGCAAATTCTTGACCCTCAGCTTCACGCTCCTTTTGTACCTGCAAGTAATCATTTATATAATTAATATAGATAATAAAAGAAGAGCACTGCTAATTTTGATTAATAATATTGATTTTTTTAGTACAATTACTTTTAAAGACTTCATTGCCCCACGCTAAGGAAAAAGTATGAATTTGTTTCCAAGTTTTCTATCACATTTTTATAATTCAATATATTTGTTTTATAGAAAATGTTTTTAGAAACCATCATAATGATAACACTGCGTGACAGTAAAAAAAATTCCTGAGATGTTATAATGATTATTAAGTAATTCGAGGATGCTGATTCCAAAAAAAAATGACATGAATTTGCTAACAACTCTAGTTTTCGAGATATACAAATGCGCTAGTATTGCTTCGAATTGCAATGAAACATATTTTATTTTATGCCTTCAAAAGTCTTTTTATATAATTCTCGAGCATGGACAAGACCTGACTGATTATGTATCAGCTCCAACAATTGTCAGCCATCATGTAGACGTCTCACCTCCCTTGATATCGCTCCTCCAAAGTCCTGATGTCTTGGAGGATTCTCTCACCTGACTCCCTGGTTTTCTTCTCGATTTCATTCAAAGAAATTACGAAAGAATTCTATTTTTTATGAGTTTTTATGAATATATCAGTTTTTAACTCTTGCTGTCTTCTCTTTTAATGTTGGTCTCTCGATTCTTTATATGGTAGGTAGAAGATTTTGATGTTCTAAATTGATCATCATTAGCATGGATAGGAGTTGTTGAATGTAAGAAGACCCCAAAACCATTAAGGTCATGGGGTATTACCATTTGCTCCTATTACCTGAATTTATTCCATTGATATTTACCACACAGAAGGAACAATGGTCGCGGTGATTATGAGGTTATTTCTAAATGACGACGGTATTAAAATTATAGCGTTTCTTTTTCTTATGGGACATTAAAGTTAACACACTGCGCAATTTTATCACATAGTATAAAGAACTCATGTTATATCTTGATTGATCAATTCAATTTTAAAGTGTCGTTGAAAGTGTTATTGAAAATCAATAAGAATGTGAATAGAGAGGCACATTGCATTATTTAAAGTGCTTATTTGCATTGTTCACTAAGATCAAACAATTATTTAAAAACAAATGCGAATAGTTAAGCAAATTATTTTTTTTTTCAGAAAGTTTAAAAAATTCTTCATGCATTCAACCATTAGAAGTTTCAGAATTTAGAACAAAATCTGTACGATATTGAAAGCTACAAAATTCATTATCAAAATAGAAAATACAGAATTTCAGATTGATTCAAATAGTAAATTGTTAAATTTCATTTTTAGTTTTACCAATTTATTTAAAAATAATGTATTAAATAATGTGTGGTGATGATCTATTTAGATACATCACCATCAATTCTTCTATTGCTGCTACCACATTTATAATAATAGATGCAAAATGAATTATTTGAACTATTATAATCCTTATAATATTAAATTTAACTATGTAATTTCCGTAATTTTAACATATCTAATATTTTAAAATCTTTAATTGCCCACCTGTCGTTCAACTCTGCGTTCTTGCTCCAATTTTCTCTTTGATGCAGACTCTAATAACTTTCCTATATAACGAGGTTTTCTGTTTTTCTTTTCGGCTATTTTTTCTTCATCAACTTTCTTAGATTCCATCTCATCATATATTTCATCGTATTGATACACGGTAGGGTCTTCTTCGAGAGCTTTTTGCTGAACAATTCGAGCCTGAAAAAACACATAAATAAGTTTTTTCAAGAACCACTTAATCATAAATAATTCGAAAAGTTAACTCATTTAGAAGGCATTTATAGAGATCCATTTGATTACTAGTGTATAATGTATAAAAAGATTTAATGTAAGTTGATTTTAGAGAGGATTATATTAAATTCATTTATAATAGAATTAGAGGAATAAGAATATAATTATGTTCTTCAGGAAGAGTTTGCAAATATAGATTTACGTAAATTTCTTTTAAGTTTGTTAATTTAAAAACATTTAATTTATCTATTTTTAAATAGTTTAATTAAAATATACACTTGTGGTGCACACGTTTTTAAAACTTTAAATTATCAAGAATTTATATTTTATAATAATTATATATTTATTAGAAATAAGAATATTTTTTGGTAATTAGTTTTGTATTTTATTTTTAATATTTGCATTAGTGCTTGAGAAATTATTGGGATTAATTCAACAATGTATATTTTTAGAATATCAATTTTTAATTTTAGTATTAATGTTTGTATTTTCTATAATAATGATAATTATTAGTCCAATTTTAATTAGAATTTTATTAAATTGAGATGCGCAGAATAAGTTTTTTATTGTTTTATTAGTAATAATAATTAGTAAATTAAATCTCAATGAAATAGTAACCATATTAATAAATCAAATTAAAGATGTTACCTTATTAATATGATTTTTTTGAACAATGAATTATCGTATTAAAAATTATTTATTTTATAAAAAGTATATAATAAAGAATTGAATAATGAAAAGTAGATCGCGGAAATGGGTTCATTTATAATTAATAATTCCCAACTTTATAAAAATGTATTACAAAATATTTGTTCATAAAAATATATATTATGGCATGTCATTCTCTTTTGTTCTGGTCCGATAATAAAGAATTGAAATAAGTGTAATTATATTTTTAATTTAAATTAAATTAAAGGGAGCAAATTCTCTTCTTATCTCGATTACCCATTGCTCCTACTCCTGTTTCAACTTCAGTTCATTTTTTAACTAGAGTATATTTCATAACTCGATTTAAAGAGTTATTGATAAAGAGTGATTTATTTTCTTATTTATTATTAACTTCTATATAAGCAATATTTATATAAAGTTTAGGAGCTAATTATGAATTTTGTTTAAAGAAAATTATTGTTTTATATACATTAATAGGCCAATTCTTAGATAAAACACCTTGTTCGTTGTGACAAAACTGCAAAAAGCTAGCATTAACATTAGTTTGACTTCTCACATATATTATTTATAAATGCAATGCCAGAGTAACGCTTATTTTGAACTGCTTGATATTATCACCATGCTGCCATATGACATAAAACATGTAACCGAGAATTACCTCTGTAGTTATCATAACATTTTGAAGTGTGACCTTGTCGTAAGATATGACAACAAAAATTGGCCTATAAGTATATTAGATCATTTAGATCTATAATAACCATTCTACAAAATAAGGTTCCGCAAATGCAAAACAATTTGAAATGAATGAACGTGTAATCTTTTCAAATTGCTTTGAAAGAGAACCAAAGATTATTGCTTGAGGTGATATTGTATTGACAGTGTAGAAATTCCAAACAATCGTTATTTTGTTTTTATTTTTTCATATTTTCAGAGCTTAACTGTTCAAGAATATAGTGTATGAGAAGGTTTTTAAAAGTTTAATTTATTTTTGAATATACAGCTATTTGACCATGATAATCCTCTTCTGTTTACTTTATTTAGCAAAACTTTAAATTCGTTTTTCTCAAACCTATCTTTTTCAATACGATGAATACGATTTCACGAGTTCTACTGGGCCGATTTACTTGAAAATTTCAGAGAATCTTCTTTATAGACTTCTCTCTGGCATATAATACTACCTCATCTTCAAATTTTAATTTTTACTAAATTTAAAAAAATCGAGAAACTAAGAAAACCCATAAGAAAATGATCTCTGTTTTCCAAATAGTGCCCTTTTTGTCAAAGAACTTTTTTTTTAACTTAATCCTAGTTTATACCATAGTGGCATAACTCCAGATTAATGATCTTTTTTTTGCATTTCAGATTACTAGGAGGGTTGCAATCATGAGCATGGTCACGTGTCAATAATTTGAAAAGCCCCACATCAACCACTGCTAATTTTTAAAATTATAATTTTTTTTTTAAATTTTCTGTACTCTTGCAACGTTTATAAAGGAATTATAAAAAAAAGATGACAGTATAAAAATGATTTAAAAATGACCTAAAATTCATATCTCAACATTGGAAAACCCTCTTATTCAATAAGAATTGAGATTCAGCTATTTAGATACAATATTCAACTGTTTATTTTTAATGTAACATTTTCGCTTTCATTTAAAATCAATCAATACGATTTCCAATTAATGTCTTTCAAACTTTTATAAATTAACTAGTTTAAAACATTTCATTTCATCTACTTCGTGTTTTAAAAGTATATTTTATTCAAGTGTGAACCTCACTTGTAATTAGTAGCTCCATATGCAACACGAGAAGACAACATATGCTTAGACATAATTACTTAAAGCTAAAATTATTTTTTTTTTTGTTTTTCTGTACTCTTGTGACCTAAAACTCATGTCTCTACACTAGAATATTCCCTTAACACTAGAATGACGGAGGTTGGTTACATACCTATTTTGCCTGATTGAAAGTCAATTTGGGTAAGGGATTAGAAAGGAATAGAAATTAATTTTTGTATACAGTCAACCCTCAGTTAACGCGTCAAGTCCGTATCGTGCTATAAAAAACTCGTATTTAACATACAATTCAGGTTAATTCATAATGTGCTCTATGGAAACTTATATAGTGCAGTATGAAAACCGCGCTATGAGAGACTCAAAGTTAGTTCAAATCGCACAATTTTTAACGTGCTATATGGAGACCAAGAAATACAACTTGAAGTAGGAGTAATACGGACGAAATGACATGTATGACATAGACAACTCATTCAAAAATTGGTACAACGCAGTAGTCAGTTCAAACATGTTCTTAGACAGATATTATATAATCAGGCATGTCTAAAAGATAAAAATTGATAACAAAACTTACATTAATACCCTTTTGATATCAAGTTCCTAGAATCACTCATAGGTTGCGCAAGGAACTTGTGGGCTGATAAACAAAAACCGTGTAATAGGAAGTCCGTGTAGTCGGAGGGATGTCAGATTTTTAGCTCCGCGTAGTATGGGAACTAGAGAATGCAATACCGGTATACCGAATTACCGGTAAACCGACCGATTTTTTGGCGGTATTTTTACCGGTATTTATCTCAAATTTACCGGTATTTTCGGTATGATTACGTAAGCGCTATTTGATACATAATAAACTAAAGTTTAAATTTCTCGGAACAAATTTATCTTTAAATTCCATAACCGCATAAACAGCTATATCTTCAAGTGATTCTATAAGATAAACAAATGTCAAATATTATCTCAACTCGTCATTAAACTGAATATTTATTGCTTTACTAAGGGCTTCATATCGTGTTACAATAAAAAGAATTCGACTGATAGATAATGATGTTTGCTACATCTTTTGTAAAAATGTAACGGTTTTTTAAGTAATATTTGCGCCAAAATATTTTATATCATACAAATTACCCCTGCGTAATCTTTATTTTTTTTATAACTTTATACATAATAATTATGATAATTACTAAATATTTTTTGCTTCTTATTACAATTATAAAATATTATTTTTCGAAAACGTTTCGAAGTTTGAAAATACTACAGAAGCATCACATTGTTTTAAATAACAATACTCAGCAATTATAGTAACTTATTATTTATCTCGACAAAGAATCTGATCTTAAATTAGTGTACAAAAATTATTTTTTTTAAATATTGGAGATTATGCTAATTTAACACATCGGATACAAAAAATACAGTTTATTATAATAATTTAATATGATCTTTTATGAGTTTTTGGTCTTTCTTACTCGTACGTTTGTTTCTGGTAAAAAGTACTCAATATTCTCGATAGAAGAATGAATTAATTAAATTGCATATACTTATGTTAAATTATTATTTAAAAAGATAAACTTATTGTTTTATTTTATTGTTTAGTTGAATATAGTTGTAGTTGTATATACATTTTTTTATATTTGTACTAGTAACTTTCAATTTTGTTTACGTTTGTTTAAGATAATAAAAATACCGGTAATTTACCGCTATTCCGGTTTTAAAATAAAAAATTACCGAATAACCGGTATTGAAATTTTTTATCGGTGTTGCATTCCCTAATGGGAACTGTGCACCCAGAGTGCCGTGTTAATTGAGTGTTGACTCTACCTTTCATAGCACTATGAAACACCAAAGAAATATTTTTTAAAATAATGACTTGAAATTTTTGGTGACTCGCTCCTTCATTCTAGTGTTAAGAAAATAAATCACAAAAAAAAATGTTTACCTGTCGTTTTAAAGTAGTCGTGCCGCCCATACTAAACGTGAATTTAGCCTCATCGCCTTCATCTTCGCTATCACTGCCAAAAACATTACCCTTCGCAATTCCAGTTGGCAATTTAGGTTTTTCTTTGCCGGGTATTATTAAACCGTACCTGTACAGGTAGAACAAAGTTAAGTTTTTCTAAAGTTGTCGAAGTTTTATAATATTAAAGGAATATACATACTGTTTAGCCATGTCGTGTTGACTCCTATAGCTTCTTGTAGTTAAAAATACACATATTATTAAAACATTATACAATGAATTAAAATAATTGAATAACTCAATTTGAGGTTATGTGCTGTTGTTGTTACAAACGTCAAAATCGTTGTGTTGAAATTAATTACTTTTAGCGTTACAGGTGGCAGTAAAGTCGCTTTGCGCGCTAAGTTTTTTTTACCTATGATTACAACCACAAATTATAATCATTTTATTCCGTTATTTTTTAAATATTTTATTAATAGCATTACAAATTATTAATCATTTTATTCCGTTATTTTTTAAATATTTTATTAATAGCATTACAAATTTGTTTCGACAAAAACTTGCGTTTATCTAATGTAGTATACACCTAAGTCTGTTTTTACACGGAGATTGGTTCCAGAAGAATCCGTGTAAAAAAAAAACGTGTAAAAAAAGACATTGAGATTATACAAAAATGGGTGATTTGTTCCTAATCTCTAAAACCTATTAAAATTGGTGAAAAACAAGAATTTTTAAGAACAAGAATTAAATTAGTGCTATTCACATTTGCTTTGACCAGTAAAAATTGTTTGTACGCGCTAAAGGGGAATTCACTTAAATCTTTAAGCTAGTGTTCGCAAACTATCGATACTATCGATGGTTTCAGACTTTTTTCTTTCATAAATACTTTTTTGTGATATGAACATACTTCGCAAAAATTAAATTTGACAAAAAAAATTTAAGTACATAAAAATTCAAATCGTGCTAAATGAAATAAAATCGTGTAAAAAAATTAAAAGTATTCAATTTTCAAACCGTGTTATATCAAAACCGTGTACAAAAAGACCGTGTAAAAACAGACTTAGGTGTATTATGGTAATATACGTGGCTAACGGATATTTATTTATTTAAATATATAGCCCACAGATTACTCCAAGAGGACTCAAAAATACAGTTATTTTACATAATGAATAACAATTGAAATATATACAAAATTACAATATATAGTTATTAACATAAAATTACATATAATGCAGAATGTAACAATATTATTTATAAACAGAATAAGATAAAATAATGAGATATTTGAAAAGAAAATAAAATGGTTAACTTGTGCAGATGGAGATTATTTGATTAGGTGAAGTGTTGTGAATATCTATTTCATTATTAACCCTCCGTCGGTCGGATATTTTTTCACCTTCGAACGGTCGGAAAGGTCTGGCTGGACCACCATTCATTTTACATGCATTTATATGGGATAAATGAGTTTTTGGTGTCTTATGTATTAACGATTATATAAAAAAATCAAGAAATATAAAAAAAAATCGTTGCTTTTTTTGTTAATTTTTCTGTTTTAAATCAATGAAAAACAATATTTATTCTTTTTCGGCGCCTTTGACATGAATGTGCGCATTACTCATCCGATTTTCAGTGTTTGCGATTACCAATAAGTTTGGTAGGTTTTCAAGGAACTCTCGTCATAAAAATACTAACATTCATGTTACAACACATAGCAAAGAATATAAACAACGCAGTTTGAATAGAAAATACCATAAAAAAGCGTATATTTCATACAAAATGTATGGGTGGTCTAGACAGACCTTTCCGACCGTTCGAAGTATAAAAAAGTCAATATCCTTATAATTATCCTTCTGTACATATTTTTGTCCTGATTTTTTCATTGATCGACAGCTAATGAAATTTTAGGAAAAGTCAAGAAATTTCAAGTCGATATAGGATTACTAGAAGTATTTTTTTTTTTTAATTGAAGTCGAAAAAAGTCTGGCCAGACCACGCCGACCGACGGAGGGTTAATTAAGTTAAAGTTAGAGGACATAAGTAGAATAGGCAAATTTAAGAGAGAATTAGATTTAGGAGTAGGATAATTGAAAAATAATTGTGAACGCGTAGATAGCCTCGGAACATTAAAGGATAGTTGATTAAGAATAAGAGGACAGTATATAGAATTGTTGCAAAGTTTAAATAAGAACATAATTGTACAGATAAATCGACGTGAGGCAAGGGAAGGAATACCAAATTCTTTTAGTAAAGTGTTGTGGTCAAAGCCACGTTCAGGGTAAATTTTATATGTTTTATAATAAAGGTATTTCAGAAATTTTTGCTGAACCTTTTCTATCGCATCAGAGTTGTTGGCTTGATGAGGATACCAAATAATCGAACCATATTCTAATTTTGAACGTACAATAGAATAGTACATGCAAATAAGCGCATTGGTAGATTTAAATTGTTTACAATTTCTCAGTATCAAACCTAAAGATTTGTGTGCTCTATTACAAATATCAGTTATATGATCCGTGAAAAACAAACCAGAATCAAATAGAACTCCTAAATCTGAAATTTTATTACATCTATTACCATAATAATAATAAAATACAGAGAAAACTAAGTACTACATTTATTTCCAACAAAACAAAATATAAAAAATAAAGACAAATTAAACATTTTTCATCAACGATGTTCAAATAAAACAATTGTTTTTCTACTTAAGTAGAACTAGTGGGGTGCATGGCATCGTGCCTTAAGGCAAATTGCTGGAACTTACTTGTTACCCGTACTGTAACAAAATGTTAGAGGAATATTAAATATTTTCAAATAGATTATTATAAATACTGTAACATCGTCTTATATAAACTGAATTGCAAAGTTGAAATTATTTGTTTAAAGTATATTAGAACGTTAGTCCGAATTAAAATTAAAATCTGAATCTGAAAAAAAAATTAAAAAAAAAAATCTTGAAACAAAAAAATTTTTTTCCAAAAGCAATTATTTTGTTGAAACAAGCAGAAAGTTCTTTGAATCATTCAAATCGGACGCTTAATTCTCTCAAAAACTGCCATTTTTGAATGTACAATTCAGCTCTGGATCTTCGAAACAGTCTAACCTGTTTTTGCCAAAAACTAATCACCTCTTCTCCCAATCATTACAAATTAAATGTTTTTAGATCATTCAAATCGGATACTCCGTTCTCTCAAAAACTCGATTTGTATTTTCTGCACTCTTTGCTCCGTATCTCCACAATGGCTGGACCTGCCTTTGCCAAAAACTAATCAGCATATCTTCCTATTAATAGGATCTAGAAATCGAATGTTTTTTGAACATTCAAATCGGTTGATCCGTGCGCCTGAAAACGTGGACGAAAAAATGCGGACATACAAAACACACACACACACACATCCATTTTTTCTGAGGTATGCTAAAATGTTCAGAAACCTTCAAAACGTCGAGAAATGCAGAAAATTTCATTTTCGATTTTCAGCCCATTACTATAACTACCCTACGGGAAGTTAATAAAGGACGTACAAACCCCCTTAGAAGTGCAAGCAGCCTTTTCAACAAATTACCTGTCGAAATAAAAATATTGACGAACTTAAATAAATTTAAAACTAAATTAAAAAAAACTATATCAGATATAAACAGTATTATCCCTATTATTTAAATATGACTTATGCTTAATTTCTCATATAAATGTATAAATTTATATATATATATATATATATATATATAGTTTATAAAGAGATATGTTCGATTTCAATATGCCTTAATTAGTCATTAGCCAAAAAAGTTTGAAGACTATATTTAAAGTTTAGAAATAAAATCCAACACTGGTTGGTTTAATACTATCATTATGAAACGGCGATGAATGTAATAAAGACTAGTAATAAGAATATTTTATCTAATAATGTATTTGATCTAATCAGAGTCATGGCGGTTGGAATGCAACAGTGCCCGTGCTCCTTCCTTGGTAAAGTTTTGCATGAGTTGGTAAAATTACACTTAACAATATATTGCTCATACTGTCATACTAACTAATTAATATTAAATTACCAAAAACTTTTAAGTAGTAAGCGCCACCCTTCCTTTTCCCAAATTTTTACGATTATATTACAACCACTTTTCGCAGGACTTTAATATTAAAGGATGTTCATATGAACCATAAACTATATTCGCAATGATACTTTTCATTAAAAACGCAAAAAATAACGTAACATAATTAAGAAGAAAGGTTCCAGCCAATTTAAAGTGATCATATTTCGGTTTTAAATTTTTAAAATCAGTTCAGGAATTTTAACTAAAAGGCACACGCATACAAACTTTTCCAAATTTAGGATCAAACGATTCAGAAAGTCGGGTGTTTTGATGTAACTATTTTTCATTATACTTTTATTTTATATTGTATTTTTCTTATGTACAAGGTTGGCAAAGTATTAACTATATAATTTAATTCACTTTTAATAAATTAACATATAAATCTTTATTTGAGTCATATTTCATATTTCACAAAGTTTCCTGAATTTAACGTATTTACTGAAATAAATCATTTAAAGCAATATAGTAGTTATATAGAAACGTAATCGAGGTAAGGATTATTTTATTTCACTTCACGAGAAGACAAAGGACTTCCAATTTTATATTATTATGTAATTAAGTAAGTTAAGTTGTTTATAGTTAGTAAATTGCAGTACTTTAGGAAATAAGTAACTAAAAAACTAAAAAACTAATTAGTAAAATAAATTTTGTGTAAAAATGTGTTTACCTATAATATTAGGTAAATCATCATCAGTACTTAATGGAACAATGATTGAAATTCAAAGCCTTTAAATTTTTTAATGTTTATATTTCATCTTTCGATAAATACAAAAAAAGTTTAAATCAGTACTTTAACAAGTATGAAACAAATGCAGCAATCACTATCAATGACCATAATTAGTCAAATTAGTTCTGTATTATATACAGATTCCATACGAGTATGCATATAACTTAAGGACAAAAATAGAAAACCGTAGTGTTGAAATTACAATGCTTTGTAAGTTCTCGTGCAGACCACATCATCAACAGTCATAACCTAAAATAAAAATGAAATTAATAAATTATGTAATAATTTAAGTAATATATTTGTTACAAAGTACTTACTGCTTTCATTTCAGTTGGTCCAAACTCACGGACTATTTTGGTGGGCTTATCTCCCTTTTGTTCATGAGTCAGTTTATCACCATCCAAGGTGACTACCGATTTTACCTGAATAGCAAAGTTAAAAAAAATCAATATTTTTGAATTTACATCAAAATTTGATCTGAACTATTTTCATTAACTAGATGTAATTACCTTGCGGCCATCAGGAGTCTCTTCATCAAATTCTTCACCAAGTTTGAATGTGATGATGGAATTTTTGAAGGTGCTAGTGGATGACAAGGTATAGGTATCTCCATTCTTAGTCAGCTCTACCACTGGGCTCACTTGGTTGCCCAATTTACGGGTGACTAGACTGACACCTAAAAATACAGAATATATTAATAATATATTTAAACACAGACTTATATACACTATATACATATACACATTAATGTGTATCACCGTGTGTTTCTATTACCATTACCGTGTTTATTATTATGAGCAGATTAGTTTTTATTTTTACTTTTTATAATTTTTATGCTCAGCTATGCCCGTAAAAGGCAATTTTCACTTGAGATTATATTTCAGATCTATGACCTCAAGTGGAAATTTGACATCATTTGACTAGTTTGTGCCCACGTCCTTACCGATTACGCCACCGGTGGCTCATGTGTAGAAATAACATAAGATATTACGAAGTAGTTACTGTTATATTTACGGCTTAAGAATAGGTACAGGTACTAAGTAGAATGATAGAAACGATTTATTCAATTAGCATTAATAAAATTTCATTGTTAGCCAATTGTCAATACTGCCATCATCACATCTGGCTACGTGAACGTATGGGAATAATTGTGTTGTATCATCCTTCAGCAGAATGTTATTCGAAAATTTAAAATGAATAGAAATCGTTTTGGACTTATAAATTAAAGATTCATATATAGTTGTCCAAAAATCCCTAAGAAATCGATCACGTGATTATTGGACGCCCCCTAGGAAGTTGTTCATTGGAACAAATTTTATAAATTTTCATTTAATCATCCTAATCATATCCTAGTAATGCAAGAGAATTTAATTTAATTTACATTTGAACAAAATTATATTGTTATTATCTTTATGTTATTCTTGTTTTTTTATATATCTCAAAATTTAATTAATTCAATTTTATACATCTCAAAAATATACGTTTTTTAACTGTTTATAATAGTCATAAAGTTTATATAATAACTAGTTACAGTGGATCAACCCATTAATAGCTCAATCGACTGAACCTAAATCAGAGATCCCGGGTTCGATTTCGCTTCGAGAACCCTGATGTCAAGCAGTAGTAACATTGGCAATATAAATAGCAGTAAGCCTCCAAATAAAAACAGTTCTCGTCCAATATTGCTGCATCAATGAAATATGTATTCGCCATATTACAGAAATTGTAATAATAAAATTCATCACACAGAGATGAGACAACTGCTTGGGTTGCCATCTGTAAAAACTGACGAGGTATTAAGTCAAATTACCCCAACATAGGAGTTATGATAGTGGTTCCAAATAATAAAAAAAAACGCAATCTCATAAAATTTGGATATTTTTGATTCTTATTCGCAGAAATAAGAATAACTATTATAAATGTTTCTGATGTGAGACAAAGTCGTCAAACTCAAATAAAGTCCACTTCCGAAAATTATAAAACTCGTTTCATGTAATTAGTATTGTAATCATTTTTGTCTATAATTTACGTGCTACCTACATGACTAAGCATGAGCGTAATACATATAAAACTTTGTGATAGTCCGTTGAACTAACAATGAAATTCATAATGAGCAGCTTCCTAATACGAAGTACAATCCGTCACGATTACTCTTTGCGCAATTGCGGACACATCATAGAAATATATTTCTGTACAATACATTTGTTCGCAGAATTAAACAGAAACTATCATATCGCAAATAATTTCCATAAATCTAAATCGATTTAATATACTATAATAAAAAAAAAAATCAATCACGGAACCATTATTAACCCTTACCGCTCGGCACTGATTCAAAAGCAATCTATCAGCAACTCGGCGCCGCATTCTGGCGAAAACGAAGCTGTTGCAAATTTGATATTATTGTGTGAATTATGCAATTTGCTCAATATGATTTTGTGGACCTTGAACATACTTCAATATTTATATCTAAATTTATTTTCTGTAGTATGTTGAAACTTAAAGCAATTTCCAAAAGGCATAGCGGATTAATTCGACTGTTATAATTACTTAGCGTCGTAACGTTTTTTTTTATATCATACAACAGTAATGTATCGTTTTCATATCTGTCTTTTTTGACGAAAATTTTGCTGTAGGAATTGCTCAGTCGTTTTACCGTATTTAACAAGAAGTTTATATAATAACTAGTTGATATTGGTATTTTGCCTTGAGGCAAGTTACATAAACTTCCCGATTTGTGTAAATAATCGGCTTAATTCATGATAGATAAATTAATTTATGAGTAGTTAAAAGTATTCGAAGTGGATTTATTACACATTATTGAAAATCGAACACGTCAACCCGGTCGAAGTATTTTTTTAGTAGTAGTATTTTCAGTTCATAAGACCATGATATATATCGCCAAAAAAAGTTCCATGAAAATCGGCTTAAATTTTTTTTTCAACAGTTAATTACGAGAAAACGGTTCGGTAGATTTTCACCTAAAACTAATCAGTATCATTCCCAACTAATATCTTTCGAACAGTTTTTGATTTTTTAAAATCGATTCGGTTCAGGCGTTTTTGAGCAAATGTCGATGAAAGTGCTAATATTGACAAATGCCAAAAAGACCATACTAATTTTTGCAAACTTTGACGAATTTTTAAAGCTAAACGAGTTTTCGTAGGGCCGTAATATTTTAGTATAAATAATAATAATAAAAATCGCCGAAAAAAATTTTTTAACACCTTATTACAAGAAAACGGCCCGGCCGATCTCTACCAAAAACTAATCAGCACGATTCCCAACCAATATCTTTTGAACGGTTTTTGAATTTTGATTGAACAGACTAACATGTTACATGAAATAGAACGACTTTTCCAAAATACATCTATGACATGCACGCTTTTTAAAAAAAATATTTATATCTGTTTGCAACAAAACAAAGTCTTAATAACGGTTTTAAAATATTCATAATTCGATTCGCGTGAGACGTTTCGTTCCGACAAACTAACGAGAATTCAAATTTATCGCTCATAAAAAGAATTAATCATGAGATGTAGATAATACATGAATTAACATTATAACAATTTGAAATAAATTGTACAAGTAAAAAATAATATAGAAAATGAAAGAATAGTTTCATCTACTAAATAATTGCTTTATATAAATTACACTTAAATTAGTAGTTGAATTTTAATTTCATTCCTTACGTATTAATGAATCTAACACTGTTTCAATGAGGAAAAAATGAGCGTTTACAACTAAAACATCATACGATGTATTTACATATGCAAATACAAAGTATATAACGCTATTGAAATGTACTAGAACTTGCATCATTCAAATGTATTTTGAATAAAACATACACGATCTAAAACATGGTTTCAAAAATTATAGGCCAGGTGTAAGTAGAATTTTGCTTGAAGTATCGACTTAATAAGAAATCAATATATTCAATCAAGATTTATTTATAAGTAACAGGGGCGCTATAGATCACTATTGTGAGAAACTATTGCAGATTATTCAAATTTTCCTAACACGTTTTTTTTATATTACACATTATAGAAAACGAACACGCGCCTAATGCACGGAGTATTTTCAAAAAGCACGGCCAATTAATCCAAATTAATTTTTATATTGAAAACAATTGTAGGCCTCTAATATTTTAGTATCAAAATACTCTATTGCCATACAAAGATTCATTAAAAACGCGAAATTTTTCATCATTATTTGTTAAAAACTTATCCGCACGATTCCCAAATCATTTCTTTCAAATAATTTTGAATTTTCAAAATCGGTTCAGAATTTTTACGAAAAGCGGACGAAAAATTGGCACGTTTCAGGTAATTATAAAAAATGGCTCGCCATATCATCTGAAAAAAAAAGACAAGCGAGAGCTAATCGAGTTTCATCAAATGGTTTTTCAATTTTTTAAATTGGACTATACGATTTTGAGAAAACATCGACGAAAGGTCAAAATGATTTGAAACTTGAAAAATCTGAAGAAATTCAGAAAGTATGTAAAATTCCCGATAATTTATAGATTTAAAATATTAAATTTGGTATAATATATTGAGCCTAAAATTGAATGAAAAAGAGTCCAAATCCTTCATTATTTTTAAAGAATTTATTAAAAAGTTCATTAATATACCATTGTTTATTAAACATAATATTCCAAGCATAAAAAATAACTTAGCTATTTTTATTTGCTAGACGTATAAATAATATCAAATTCTGCATGACACCAAAAATAATGTTGAACAAAAAAAAAATGAATATGCATTTTGACCTCTGTGCCATGAGCCAAAAAAAAAATCGTATGTAGATTGTTAGAACATAAATAAAAATGCTTGCTCACGTCAACACAATTGATACCAAGATAGATATAAAATCTATTTTTACAACTCGGGCTTTAATCTGTTACATAATCCAAGTGATGTATACAAACAGAAAAATTAACAATTATTGATCACAAACGATCACATCGCAAATACTTTGCATAAATCTAAATTGAATTAAGAACTTATATTGAAATCAAGACGAGAACAATTATTGAATCATAATTTCGACGTAAAATGGAATATGTGAACGCTGAAAAATTCTCCTAAATGCAAATAAAATATTAACATTGTGTACAAAAACATTTTCGTAATTCAATAGTTTGAATGAATTTTAAGATTTGTTGCATGCAACGACAATTTTATAGCGATTTTTTAAAAATACATCTATGTCCCAAAAGTATTTCTTACAGACCATTAGAAAATTTGTATCCACAAAGAAAATATTCTGAACATAGATTGAGTTATTAATATTTATGAATTACCTGTTTTATAAACCCATTGACAAATTGGAAATTTCTATTCAAATTTCATTAGAATCTCGCAAAATTATTTTTATTATTACTCGTTTCATAAGTTGTTTCAAAACAAATCTACTATTGCACGACAGGCACCCCAGTGGTCAACCATTCTTTTGTATATAAACCGTATTATAATATTTAAATATAAACTGCTTAAATTGCTATTTAATTTATATTGAAAAAACGAGCCAGAATTTAATGAAACGATTACAACAACATAAAAAGTTAAAAAAAAAACGACAATTTAAAACTATGCTTACAGAACACAACTATAAAACATAATACAGTTTTTTTAATAGCAGTGTACTATATTTTGAAGAAAATTTATACAAAAG